AAATGCATAATTTTTCGGGTCTTTACGTTGAGTTGATACAGCTCCTTCCGAGTCCACTTCACTACTTAAAACGAGTAGAGTAAGATTGGAACTGCAAGCATATTTGTTGCAGCAACTTTGTTCTTCCCCGACAGTTCCGATGACCAGATCTGTCGAAGTTTCAGGACTATGAACGGTGCCTCTCTCAAGAAGTTACGACAATGGAGAACACTCACCGCAACAAGGTGTGGTTTCATTCATATGCAGAGACGCCGTGCCAAATGTTGTAGGGTGTTTCCATCTACGAGCTGCACATCCTCTCCGTAGTCCCCGTATCGTCCTCTTTTGAGATGGACCATTGCACATTTGTCTATCCCAAATTTCATACTGATAGCATGCGTGTACTCTTCCACCACCCTCAAGGACTGATGGAGATTCTTCTCTCCAGAGGCATAAAGTTTAGGATCATCCATATAAAACAAATATGTGACCTTGTGCCCCCGGTTTCCGGGGGTGCCACAATTATACCCTCGAGTATTTCTTAGTGCAACGGTTAATGGCAATAGTGAGACGCAGAAGAGAAGGAGACTGACGGAATCACCCTGAAATACACCCCTTCTGAAAGTGACCCACCCTGTTTGGACTCTTACTCGACCAGATATTATGGTGAAGCGAATTCGCCAAAGTGGTATCAGTTGTTCAATGCATCTCACTATTTTGTCGGGTATCGCAAGGATTCTGAGCAAATGCAAGATGAGCTCATACGATACTGTATCTAATGCCGTACGGTAATTGATCCAGGCCATAGAGAGTTTACGCTTATATTGTATCGAGTCCTGCGTTACACATCTATCGATGAGCAGGTTCTCTTTACATCCAGCGACTCCTCTCTGTAGTATGCGCTGGTCAGACGCATGGTATGGTAAAGCTTGTAACTGAGTGATTTTCAATGGTGTATATTCGTGAATTTGGTTCGTTGAAAAATGAAATACAAATTTATACAATTAAATGTAAAGTATTCAATGTATTTGTCAGTAATTTAGTATTTTCATTTTCAAGTGTCGGTCTATTCCATCACATAATTTGGCTTTTCATTTTCAACGGTTAGTGACATATGTCTAGTGATATCTATCGAATTGTATTCATACCGAAAGTTATGTTGCGTTCATACGAATTTAGTAACTGACAGCGCTCTTCGAAACGCTATTGAAACTCGACCTTTCCTTGTTAGATGGCGAAAGCAGTACTGCTTTGTAATGAAAAATGCAAGAAAAAATAGTATGGTCGATATTTGAGAATATAAAATAAAAAACGAAGATTTTTTAATATTCAAAGAAATATTATAATCAATTTAGGAAGGCTAGATAGGGACATTTCTTTCTTTCTGAACTGAACTTAGCTAGTTTTTGTAATAAATTGACGAAATTTATCCAGTCAGATGGAAACTGTATGACCAGTTATCAGTCTTCTCATGAACGTGGGCTGTATATTGGAATATTTCAGTGAACATATGAAGAATTTACTAATATTCTTGATTGCAGCCATGCAAATATGAATATATTCCACAGGCAGTTAGTTGTTACATCATCAACAGTTTGAGGGCAATAAAAAATCTGAAATTAGTATCGAAACGATTCAGTTTGTCTCGTTTTATAATGTGATGTGGTAACATCGCTATATTCTGAACAGTAATAGCTATGAAGACGATTAAATGGGGAAAAAAAGGTAACTGTCGTGGAAAACAGTACAGTGGTCACAGAATATTTACAGGGACTTCCGCCTTCCTCGAGATATACAGGGAAAACTGAAAAAGCTGTTTTTGGGTTTTTACGGATAAAATTGTTATTTCAGCAAATATAAGAAAATGGAAGGGAAACGTTTTATTTTATTCGAAATGTACTATAACGATGTAACAATACATCTTTGATTAAACGTTTCGTGTCAACACGGTCACCATCAACTTTTTTTCAAATACGGACCTGCCTTTCTAATTCATTATAAATATCGATAAAGCGGTAAAATCATATTTCAGTGGTATATCACTTTTTTCATAGCGTTTCATCTGAAATATCTAATATCATCAGTGACAACAATCAAACAGAAAAATATAATAAAATCTACAGAGAAGATGAATTCTATATGACAAACTGCATTGCATGCTTGTTTTGATGACCTCTTTATTGAATGCATATAAGTTGTTTTTAAACCCATCCCGATCATATGGTCCTTTAGAGCCGGATGCTGAACAGTTTTTCGATTAATGTTGCAGAAACAACATTGCTTGTTTTCGATTATTCGGATTTCCTAGTTGTATTACAAATAATACAATTTCCAAGTTCCAGTTCCAATAGAGGATATCGTCAACTGAACGGTAACGATTCGCTCCAGAAAACATTTCCACCGCGCGCAGCGTAGTGTTAACATTCAAAAACTCTTGTATAAATTCATATTTCCGATTATTTCTTCTTACAGGTTGACTTAGTTTAAGATATTGTTGTGAGTTTCTTACGTATCCAAAAAGAAAGAAATCTATGTTTTGGCATTTGCTCTGTCCTATTAGAGTCGGCTTTATTTGAAATAANTGTTAACATTCAAAAACTCTTGTATAAATTCATATTTGCCGTTTCAGTTTGCTGCCGATTATTTCTTCTTACAGGTTGACTTAGTTTAAGATATTGTTGTGCGTTTCTTATGTATCCAAAAAGAAAGAAATCTTTGTTTTGGCATTTGCTCTCTCCTATTAGAGTCGGCTTTATTTGAAATAATTTGATTGAGTCCTTCTAGGAACGGTTCTGAAAAGAGTTGATTCTTTTTTTTTCGTCAAAAAAATTAATTTAAAGTAATCAATTTCATACTCCAGGGCCGTATTTAAAATTTCGCAGCCCTTTCTTCCCGTAGCGATTTATTTATGAAATAAAATTTTAAATGAAGTCGACTATACCAGTTTGATTTGCTGTACATTTTTGATTTATCGCATATTTGATCTACTGCATATTTGATTTTTTCCATGCAATTTTCTTGATACATTGTTTAGTGATATTTTTCGCTCACTGATATTTTGATTGAGTTGATTTATGACCTATGTTCTAGTGCGGTTATTGCATTGTGTAAAAACTTTACGAGGTTCCAACGTTAGCAAGAACATTTACGCTAATTTTTCAGTGTCAANCTTTACGTGTTCCCAACGTTAGCAAGAACATTTACGCTAATTTTTCAGTGTCGAAAAAATTTGTGCCGTAAGTAAAATTTTAAATCTACGTCGCGAAAGGCAGAGCATAGTGTTCGTCCACAGAATCCTGCGTGGTTCTTTCCATTTTAGAATAGTTGTACCATTTAGACTATAGACAACTTTACGATTTCTTAATTCAAAACACACAATGCAGTCCTTAAAGAAACAAAGAAAAAATGCTAAAGCCGCGATTACACGAACTCAAACTTGGGCTACTCAGAATTTAGAGTCCGAAAATGATTTGTTTCTCCTTCAAACTAAATTAGATAATTTAGAAAGTGAAATTACTAAGTATATCAGTGCTCAGGATGAAATTGAGGAATTAGACCCAGAAAAATCTGATACAGAAGATAGAGATAGTTTACAAAATAATTTTGATTTATCCGTTGCAAGTTTTAAAAAAAGGATTCACAGTTTAACCATTCCTTCCACCTCTCTGTCTGCCCTTTCCATTTCAAATAGTATGCAATCCGTGCCTGCCTTAAATGAACAAGGTGGACGAGTAAAACTTCCTCAAATTTCCATACCCCAATTTGAGGGTGATTATGCAAAATGGGCGCCGTTTTATCAATTGTTTACTGCTTTGATAAAAAATAACAATTCCTTAACTGATGTTCAAAGATTAATTTATTTGCGTTCTTATATGAAAGGAGAGCCTTTGTGTCTCATTGAGTCACTTGAAATCACAAATGAAAATTTCCAAATTGCAATAAATATTTTAGAAAAAAGGTACGAAAATAATTTAGCTATTATAAATTCACATTTAAATTCTATAATGGATTGTCCGAACATTACAAAATGTACTTCTTCCTCCCTCAGAGACTTTTTAGTAAATATTCGAAAGAACTTGGATGCCTTGAAAAATTTGAAATGCCCAATTGAACATTGGGATTTAATTATTCTTAATGCTGTCATGAAAAAGTTAGATTACGGTACTAAAAAGGAGTACCAGTCCAGTAGAGATTTAAAAATGAATCCTACTTTAAAGGAATTTTTTCAAATCATTGAGGCCAGATGCAGTGCTTTAGAATCCTTGACTCCTTCCTCTCATTCCGCGTCGCATGAATTGAAATCAGAAAAGTTCTCAAGGACAGGTTCAAAAACCGCGTTACATGTATATGGTAGTTTCCCGACCAGTAAAGGTCGAATTTGTTGGTTCTGTAAGGTCCCTGATCATGATATTTATAAATGTTATAAATTTTCCAAAATTAGTACTGATGAAAAATACAGTTTTCTTAGGTCCTTGGCCCTCTGTTTTAACTGTCTGGGTGGCAAACACCTGCTGACCGAGTGTAAGTCTAAAAGTTGTACCCTATGTGGTAGAAAACACCACACACTACTTCACAGAAACTCTTCCCAAGGTCATGTTCCAAAAAATTCCCAAAATTCAAATAATAGTCCGAGAGATAGTCCCAGGCCTCACGGTAGTACGGGGGCAATTCCGAAATTAGTTCAAACTACAAGTCCCAGTCAAAATTGGCGTTCGTCTCCCCTTAATCCTCCCACTCAAAATGCTGACAATACGGCGCACTTCCGAGCCCTTGAGCCCGAACCTCAGGCAATTACTCCGGCATCTTCGATGCCATCCGCACTTCTTGTTGGTAAAGAAGATCATGAAATTCTATTAGCCACAGCCGTAGTAGATGTTCTTTCCGAAAACGGTTATCCCCTAGACAACGGCAGTCAATGTTCCTTCGCTTCTGAAAAATTCGTAAGAAAATTGAATAATAAAACTTACGACAATCAAATTCAATTTTCCGGCATAAGATGCACTCCTACTGTTTCTAACAAAATGTTAGATATTGTTATCCGTTCCAATACTCATGAGAATTTCAGACTCAAGGTGTCTTGTGCAATACTCCCGGTAATCACTTCCAAATTACCTAGAATTCCGCTAAACAAAAATAGGTTGAATATTCCGTCAGAATTCAGACTTGCTGATCCAAAATTTCACATTCCATCCGATGTGGATGTTCTCCTGGGCGCTGACGCCTATTACGACATTTTACTGCCACAAATCCACAGGCTAGGTCCCAAACTTCCTACCCTTCAGCTGACGAGGCTCGGCTGGATTATTGGAGGACAATTGCCTCCTCAGAGGGTTCCGAAACAAGGCAAGGTTTCACTCCTTTGCCAAAATGCCTGCGAATCCACAGATTCATTAGGTGAAATTCTTTCTAGATTCTGGGAATTCGAAGAGCTTCCAGAGTCTAAGTTCTTATCAGCAGACGAAGAGCTTGCTGAACAAATTTTTATTCAAACGCATGTGCGTCTCAAAGATGGTACGTTCCAAGTAGATTTTCCGTTCAATTGCCCCACTGAGAAGATTCCTCTTGGGGATTCCTTCCATATCGCAGAAAGGCGATTTACCAATTTAGAGAAACGGCTCCAAAAGAATCAAGAATTATTTTCCACTTATAAAAATTTCATTGATGAATATGTGTCATTGAAACATGCCACATATGTTCCATTCAATTCCACTGACAAATCCGCTGAGATAAAATATTTCCTTCCGCATCACTGCGTTATCAAGGAGTCCAGTGAAACCACGAAACTCAGAGTAGTTTTCGATGGCTCCACTAAAACTTCTACTGGATTTTCTTTGAATGATCTTCTACACAAGGGTTATCAAGTACAGCCAGAATTGTATGATATATTTTGCCGTTTCCGTCAGCATTCTTATGTCCTGACCTGCGACATTGAGAAAATGTACCGCCAGGTTAAAATGAATCCATCGCAAAGACATCTCCAGAACATCCTGTGGAGAAACTCCCCCCAAGAAGAGCTAAAATGCATTCAACTTTCCACCGTGACTTATGGGGTCACTTCCTCCTCTTTTTTAGCAACTAGAGTTCTGAAGGAGCTCGCTTCCAATTGTAAAGGTTTCCCGTTAGCCAAAAAGGCATTATTGAAACAGACGTACGTGGACGATGTGCTCCATGGCACAGATTCCCTTTCCGAGTTAGAAGATTCTTATCATCAACTCAATAGTTTGTTAAATTCTGCAGGTTTTAAACTGCACAAGTGGTCATCCAATTCTTCACAGTTCAGAGAAAAATATTGTGAAGATCCGGATCCAATCAAATACGAAATTAAAATGGAAGACAACCCTAGCAAGGTGTTAGGTTTATCTTGGAATCCCTGTTCTGACAACTTAGCAGTTTCTCTACCGAAAATTTCTTGTAATGATACTCCTTCTAAGCGCAAGGCGTTATCAATCACTGCTCAAATGTTTGACCCGGTAGGCTTTCTGGGCCCGTTCATAGTTCTTGCTAAAATTTTCCTGCAAAAACTTTGGTTAGCAAAAATCTCCTGGGACGAACCGCTTCCTGTTGAATTGTTCCAAGAATGGAATGGATTCATCGATTCAATTGAATCCCTAAAATTTCTTAAAATTCCTCGATGTTTATTTCCCTCAAAGTCCATTGTACAAATCCAAATCCACGGGTTCGCTGACAGCAGCGACGTGCTTACGGTGCCTGTTTGTACTTCAGAACTACTTATTCCGACGATACCGTCACATCTCTCTTAGTCACTTCCAAATCCAGAGTAGCACCGCTGAAAACTGTTTCAATTCCTCGTCTGGAATTGTGTGCGATGGTATTGCTCACCAAACTAGCAAAAAAGGTTATCCAAATCTTTGTCGAAAACTTAGTTTTCGAATCTGTAAATTTGTGGACTGATTCGCAGATAGCTCTGCACTGGATTCAGTCCCATCCATCCCGTTGGCACACCTTCGTGGCCAACCGAGTGTCACAAATTCAAACTTTCCTGCCACAAGCTCAGTGGAGACACAATCGTTCTTCTAAAAATCCCGCTGACTTACTTTCTAGGGGAGTATTAGCTCTTGATCTCCTGAATTCAGAATTGTAGTGGCACGGTCCTGATTTCCTTTCCGAAATAAATTTGGAATTGCCTGAATTCATCTTGAAACCCCCTTCAAGTGTTATACCCGAGCAAAAGACAAACAAGTTACGTTACAAGGGCGTTTGCGTCACGCAAACGTCCCTGAACCCCAAAAACACCCCATACTTCTCCCTGCAAAAAATTCTGTAGTGTCCCTCCTACTCAAAAGGGAGCATATCCGGTTGGGTCACGCTGGTGCCCAAACTGTCCTTGCTAATGTTCGTTTGCAATCTTGGCCTCTGAATGGAATCAGGGAAGTAAAGAGAGTAATTCATGAATGCATGAATTGTTTCCGTTTTCGAGCCGTAGCGGCTCAACAGATTATGTCCGATTTACCTCCTGATCGAGTCACTCTTTCTAGACCTTTTCAGAAGGTAGGAGTAGACTACGGTGGTCCTTTCTTAATAAAGTCCTCGCGCCTCAGAAAGGCACCGACTATTAAATGTTACATGGCCGTCTTCGTGTGTATGGCTACCAAGGCTGTGCATTTGGAGTTAGTCTCCTCCTTGTCCACCGAAGCGTTTCTCTTAACCCTAAAACGTTTCATATCCCGTAGAGGAATTCCTGCTGTAATCCACAGCGACAACGCTACAAACTACGTAGGTGCAAGAAATCACCTTCGAGAATTGCGCGAATTTTTCGCCAAGTCCCAACTGTCCGAATCCTTGAAGGTTTTCGCATCCGAAACTGGGTTTGAATGGAAATTCATACCGCCTCGCAGTCCTCATTGGGGAGGTCTGTGGGAAGCTGCAGTAAAAGGAGCCAAGCAGCACCTTTATCGCATTATTGGAAATTCTCAGTTCACCTTCGAAGAGTTCAGTACTGTACTGGCTCAAATTGAAGCCATCCTAAATTCTAGACCGTTATGTCCCATTTCGAGTGATCCGCGGGATCTAGGAGTCCTGACTCCTGGCCACTTTCTGATAGGTCGTAGCTTAACCTCTTATCCTGAATTAGATACTACCCACTTACCCGAAAATAGACTGACATTCTGGCAGAGGTGTTCCCAGATACAACAGTTTTTTTGGAAAAGATGGACTGTCGAATACCTCAACCGGTTGCAAAATCGGCCAAAATGGCTGTCTCCTTCCAAAAATTTAGAAATTAATGAGTTAGTTTTATTAAAGGAAGATAATGTCCCACCACTGAAGTGGCCATTGGCCCGAATTGTGGAAATCATTCCTGGCTCTGACCAGAGGGTCCGTGCCGTGAAACTTCGCTCCCAAGAAGGTGTCTTCGTCAGGCCTATCAGTAAGGTCTGCCCTTTGCCTAGTGCAACTCAGCCAGTGTAACGCGTTCTCTGCGTTAGTTACTTGGCGTCATTAGGTTCATTTTTTTTTCGTTTGATTTCGCGGTTGTGTTTTAATGGCATTTCCTCACTTTGACTTGTTGAAATATCTGAGATTTCAACGGGGCGGGAATATGTTGGAAACACAGTTTCCAACAAGCTTCTTCTGATCTTTATTAATTATTCAGTTCCAACTTAAATTGTGCTTAATCCATCCCTGAACGCGCTCTGTCAATTCATTTATTGCTTTCCAACTCCTACATCTGTAAACCTTTAGGTTCCTTCAACGAATTCCCAGAATTCCAGAAACATCGCCCCTTTCCCTTATCGGTCGACATGTGGCGATTAAAAATTCCCAAAAAGAACCGAGAGAGGTACAACGCATTCCGAGATTGTCCTCCGAGGTAACGAAACCTAACTGGCTTTTCTTTCTCCTACTAACATTTAGTCTCTTCATTTTCAATTTATCCACGACGCTCGAATAATTTCGGCGTTTGTATTTTTCCAAGTTAATAAGTAAAAAAGGTGAATTTGCATACATTAGTGGTACATTGTGCATAGTGTGTCTTGAAGAAGGAAACGTTTTGTAAGTAATTTAAACACAGACTATCTTATGAGAAGCAATTTGCCAACGCCCAATGTTACTTGTATGTCCTACGATTTTGTAAGATGGTAGCTGCTAAGGATTGTAAATATATTTAGTTAACGAACTGATTCAGCGTCAATTTATTCAAAAAACCAGCCACCTACAAGGAATCCAGTCCACTAATATCGAAGTTGATTATAACTTCCCCGTGTTCGAGAAAGGGCAATTAAACCCATCCCGATCACTACATATGGATTGTATTTTTTGCTGTTTACGGTTTGGATTTTAAAATAATTCTCTGAGTTCTGAGTGAATGAATCAATGCATGTGGAGGGAGATATCTAGAGAATGAATGAGTGTATATTGAATTCTATGAAATTCAAACTCCTATTTTAGTATATTTAAACCGTTGAAATTTATCAACGCGTAATGTTTATGAAAATTAGTTTCAAGTGAACAACTGTCATTTTGTTATTTTGGTTTGAATTTCCTTTGTTATAAAGTATCTTGCCATCAGTATTTTTTGTCTCTTTGAATATTATTCAATCATATTCAAATTAAAATTGTGAATTTTTTTTTTTTAAATTAATCGAAGTTTTCTGCGATACTTCTAATATTGAGACATCAAAGGTGCACATGCCTTCCAGATTTTCAGAAGCATCACAGCTTCTGCTAACGAACTGGGGAAAACTTTGCAGTACCCCAATTACGGTAAATGGAACATCCATTTTGTGCATTTGGAAACTTGAGTTTCTAAAAAACTTACGACTGTGAGGAATATATCTGATAGAGCAGAGGTTCGGAAAGGATACAACGAAATATGTCCTGTGGGGTCCAATAAAATCATTGGACTTTTAATATTATTGTGTCCTAGTTTAAAGTTTTCATTGATAGGAAAGAAATGTTTGGTCCTTTTATCTGTCATGCAAAGAAATGATTTTCAGACACAACTGGAAGAAAAGTCCTTCCGAAAAAGCTATTTTTTAATAAACGTCGATGACAGTGCGTAAATATAATTTATTTGCTAATCTGATGAAATCCCTGTCATACGAATCTTGTTCAAATTGAAAGGGTATTTTTTTAGGGGAGATTAATTTTTGGGAAAGAAAGTTTTTGACCTTTTACTTCTCCATCTTGATACAAGAAATGTGGGAATCTCTCAAAGAAAGGAAGGGAACAATCATTTTCAAAATATTAACTCTGTTTAAAGATGTGTAGATCATGCTGAAAGATAAAGCCCTCCCGAAACAGATATTTCCATATAAACATTGAATTACACGAAAAAATAACTTCAGAAACAAATACTCTTATATGTCGCTGAACTATAGGAAAAAACCTTTTCTCTATCCCGTTTGTATTCCGTGGAATATGGGATCGATATAAATAATGAAGGAGGTGAAATTTCACTCACATGGAACAGTCATCCTCACTGCTAGACATCCATATTTCGCCAGTAGCAAATACGGAAACCATTATAAGAAAAACAATCAATTCGTTTATAATTACTTTTTTTCACGGAATGGTGACATATATGACAGTACGTGAATAACATTGGTTATTGATAATGACAATAGTCATTAAGAATAAATCTTATGGATAAATCTTGTGAAAAATAAATACAAATGTAAGTATAGAAATATAAAATTTGAATATAAAAACACCTACAAAAAAGTTAAAATCGAACACAGAATATATCTACTCCATTGAAAACAAGAGTAATTGCAGTCCGACCCCCTCATGACTTCTTGACACATCATGTAATACAAGAATTCTGAAATTATGATGCATCAAGGGATGACAGTGCATTTTGTTCTCCTATTTAGAAGTAATATCTTTGTCGATTTCGAAACGGCTTTCTTCATAGTTTACGTAATGTTATCACTTGAATTGTGACAAAATCATTCAATTCTTCAGGTGTCAAGGGCATCGAAAACTAACAGAACTGTGTTCTGGGTATATTGTGCCACATAGAGAGCGACATGGCTATTCGCCATGTCATGGCTATTCGCTCCGTCAAGGACTCCGTCAGTAATAATAATACGTAGCAGAATAAATCCTCTTTCAACCATACCATCGCAAGAAAAATACCTGGTCAGGGACCAAATCACCACTATCTAATTGTAATTTGATCGACACTACTTGTAGATAAATAAAAAGGAATTTTTAAAAAAACGAAGTACGTAAATGCATCATTGAAAACTCTTCAATAAATATGTAAATCATGCACAGGAGTTTCATTTACATACAAAGCGACATAAAATATCAATACAAACCGGATATTTTCAGTCATGAACATTCAATAATACTAATAATACTAAATTGTCTTTGCTAGTTGAAATTGAGTTGAAACAAATATATTACATAAGGACGCTACACAACGCAATCTAAAAAAATATACAAATATACAAAGCAAAAATTCCAAAGTTGATTACGGGTTTTGAAAAAGGAAAAAAATTGTTATTTGAAACGTCAGCCAGTAAAGAAAAAATATTTGATGATAAATTTCTTCAATCAGTGCAAAATTTATAAATACTCTTCAGTACAAGCATGAGTGCCTCAAGTCGAGTACATCACACATTTTGCTGTCAAAGTATCGGTATCAGGAATTCATCCTTGCACCACTGGATCCTCGTTCTGTCTGAACGAATCATAACAGTCTGCTCAACGAACAACTGTGAAATGTCAAAGCTAGGTGAATGGCGGAATGTCTCGATCTTGAAATGAGCTGAATTTCACTACTTTGGACTTCCATTGTCTATCATATGAAAAATCATATAAAATATCAGAAAAATAAAAAGACTAGCTGAAAATAATTATGTTAAGCAAAAAATCGCGAATGAAGTTACAATAAAATAAAATACAAGCAACAATTGAAATAAAAATTGGAAGATTTAAAGCCAAGTTACTTCACGACGTTTCGATTGTTAGTATCTACAATCGTCTTCGGTAGCAAGTTGACTTGGGTGGTTCCACTTATGTCTGGCTTGCGTTTACGCAGTTATTTCTATAAAGTACTTTTCTTNATTTTGTTCTTCTCCCATAAATTTAATTGGAAGAGCATTGGATTTTAACTTCCATGACTTCTCTATATAGTCAGCTTTGTTGAAATGAGTGCTACAGATTCTCAAATGTCTCATATTTCCTGGATACTGAATTCCCAGACTATCCTGCCATAACTTACACCTAAAAAATTTGAACTATAGTTACAAACAGAAGAAGTAAAGGCAACTTTTTCAATATCCCACCCTCATGTACTACAGTTTAGGCATATGAGTTATCAGAACACAATTTAATCTTTTAAATAAGCATTAAACGATTACAAGAACTCCAATTGTTGAGATGGAGTCAAACCAATATTTTCATTATCTTTGAGCTATATACCTTGCAAAAGTGTTAGATTACATCAGATTTTACACTGATATGGCTTATGACAGTTTGCTTTTGATTGGAGTTTTTCTATGTTATCTACTATAATATATCTGCTATAAAACGTATCAGGCAGTGTTGTATGACAAAACAAGATACAATAATGCGAAAATACATTTCGTCAACTAGTTTTTTTTGCAATGCTCTGGACATGTAGTATATTTCATAACAGACACAAACATATGAAACACATTTTATGTACTTACTTCTCAGCATTCCTTGGAAAGCAATGCATCTTGGGCACCTCATTTTCATCACAACCACACACTAAAGAATACATTGTTTTTAAATATCTCTACTTACACCAGATTGAAAAGACAACAACAATATCACAGCAAATGTAATAAACCACAGCAAACAGGGTCGTTTCGTTTTTGATCTATAGGTTAGGTCAGGTTAGGTAGGTAAATAAAATCACGAACATACACTGTTGCCGTCTTTCATATCGAATTTTATGGAGGTGTTCACAATAATAATTTCCTATTTTCATTTCCTTTATTTTCAAAATTTTTATATATCGTATAATTCAAAGCGCTATACTTCAACTATGTTTACGAGTTAAGTTTTTACTTTCTACGCAATAACTATAAATATTTATTTTTTTAAACAGTTGAATGATGGCATTGGCATTTGTAGAGATAAATAGTGAACTTCGTCAACGTTGCTACACTCCATGTCGCGATAGTAGTGCCATCACCCTGTGGCTTTTAATTATTGAAGGGAAATAGTTTAATTACAAATCTAATGAACAAGAGAAAGAAGAAATATATATTTAAAGAGAGCTACTCTCCTTAAGAGATAACGTGCCAGAAAAGGATCGATGAATAGTTGACCTGATTGAAGCGATCGCTTCACAACAGAACCATTTTTCCTATTAACTTAACAGTCTCGTTGGTTGTCTCTGCAAATAACAATTCACAGTGACACATGACATTTAAGTAACGTTAGTTGTCATTTGCCATTATTATTATTGGTAAATTTTTCTTATATTTTCCAAAGTTCAGAGTTAAAATTATTTTGTGGAGGAGTTGTAATTATTCAAAATGGTAAATTTTCCTCCTGTTCCGTCGGAGGTCAAACCTTTAGCTCATCTGTTGAAACTGGCAGATGAACATGACGAAAGAAATGTTGTAGTTGCTTATTGGGGTGAGTTGAGCCTCGCAGAAAGAACAACAGTAAAGAAAGGTTTTGACTTTCTACTTCTCCATCTGAGTTTAAACCCAAGCGAAAACACATTCTGTTACACTCTTCTCGTTTTATTTACCAAACTGGCATTATTAGGAGATTAACTATTCTTAGTGATGAGGTTCACCAGATAGTATAGTTCATACTGTAATGTATACCTAGTACAGTTTGTCTCCTGATGATACCAGCTTGGTAGGTGAAACATGCATGAAGAAGAGTAAGAGTTATGGTGTGGAGGAAGTTTTTCTTAATTTCGTATTTAGTGTAAGTGAAGTAAAATTTCACTGTTGTAGTTATTTTAGATTATTTCGTAGAACAATAATAAAAATGAATATAAATTGACTTAATAAGATCCAAATCTGATTGATTTTTTATTCTGGGAAAACACACCAGAAGCGAATCCCAAACCAGAGGTGATCTTTCTGTGATTTAAATTTCAAATTCAGTTTCACTGTATGTGGATTTTTGCTCCATTTTCGCAACTTTTAATTATTATGAATACTCTGACCCATTACTTGATGAAAATTGACAACACCATTCATGATAATAATGTAGAATTTTTACAACAAATTTTATTTAAAACGTGTTTTGCTACATGATAGCTTCATCAGTTACCGATACATTTATTAAACTATTCAACAATATCTTTTATATACAAACAAATAACAATAAATAATTACAAAAAACTCATTAGATGAATGATTAAATCTGATGAAACAGGTGTATTTTAAATAAAAAATTAGGAACAATATAATATTACTCTAGGAAACATGTAGGTACAATATTGGCATCCTATGCCAAAACTAAATTAGATTAATGATTAATTCTGGTAATATTATTTCTAGGAAAACAGTTGAAATGTGTATATGTTAATTAATGATATTTTGTGAGAAAAGTTCACTAATGGTGAATGAATGACTTCATCAGTAACTAACTAATGAAGCTACCGTGTAGTGAAACATGTTGTGAAAATTCTATAATTATTATCATGGACTTTTAACTATGTGAATCTTTTGGTAATTTGGTAGTTACATGGTAGAGTAACAATGTCTAATGCAGTTGCATAAATATGTAAAGGTTGTTTTTTAAATTGAATACACATTATTATTATTTTTCATTTTTTTTTAAGGGTGAGCTGGTCAGACCCTGACTCGTAAGCTCCAACCCAGTCAGGAGGATGCACCAGCATTATCACCCAATGATTATAGTAATATGTTGCAAAAACCAATTATTTGAAAACTTGAAACAAAATCAAAGGTCAATCTGGAGAAAATTCTTGAAAAGAACCAAAAAATACTAAGAAATTCTATTACATATATAGGATCTTTTTGAATACCCCTTTATGCAAGAAATCTGATTTTCTTTTTTCAACGTCATCATTTGGGCTACCTAATGTATGTTAATTATTTGTGTATTCATTTAGCGAAAATACCTCCACTTCAAACTCAGTTGGATAATGCACTTTAAAATGATATAGTAATTGGTTAATTCAAACTAAAAAAAATAAATATTCTGTGTATACATCCTTTGTATCATATTTATAATTTCTGAAGGTATGTATTGTTATTTTGTTATTTATTAGGTTTTGAAAAAAGTTATACGCCACACATTGCTGATCTTAAAAATTTGCGAAACTACTCTGTATACTTTGTAGTAACCCAGGTACTATTTTTCTGGGGCTGAAAAAGGTTTTTAGTTATTTGTACCATTAAAAAACAATGTAAATTTTAGCCCGGATGTCAGCCTGTCTGTTGGCCTTACGTATTGTTCCGGGAAAAAAATCGCCAGAAACTGCAGAACTTATTCGCTCACTCCTTGATTGGCTGGAAAAAACCAAGAAAGCAAATGGTGATAATGAGGGAATTACAAGCGAGACAATTGCACAGTCACTTATTGAAGAATATGCATTACGTTTATTTGAGTATGCTAATCAGCAAGATCTAGCACAGATTTTCAACAAGTGAGACTCAGAGAATGGAAAGTATAAATTTTTACTAATTTCTATTATTTATTCCAGGAATACTGTTAAAACTTTTTATACGGCAGGCATGTTGATGGATGTTCTAGATCAGTTTGGTCCAATTCCAGATGATATCAGAGAGAAACGCAAGTATGCAAAGTGGAAAGCAGCTTACATTCACAAGTCTCTTAAAAATGGAGAAATGCCATTACCAGGACCTCCAAAGTCTTTTGAAGAGGAGGATTCTGCTATATTACATAACAGTAAAATACCTGAAGAGGAACTTGCAACCTATACAAAGTATACCGGACCTATTGACTTCGAGGGTAAGTTAAAAAAATATATCTATCGACACAGGCAACCTCTATGCAATTGCAATTCATTACAGTGGTAATGAATGCATGTGCATAGTACAAGTTTAAGGGCTGATTTCATGGCAAAAATATAATTTTTTTGAAATTATCGAATTACCGTTCCCACAAGAGAAACAAAAGACTGTAACGCCATCATTGATCATATTTTTATTAACAAAAATAATTTTATAAACCATAAAATAAATGTTTACCCATCTATTATTCGCAGTAGCTTGACAGATCATTATGCAACATTTATATATATCTCCCGATTACCGAAAGCGAATGCACCACCGACAATAACAAATTTGAAAACAATAAATTTCGGTAAACTGAAAGCACTATTGAATAGAGAGAATTGGAATGAAATTCATGCAATGAGCTACAAATTTCGTACAATAAATTTATAGATAAACTGAAAAAATATATCACGGAATCAACTGAAACGAACATTATAAATAACAAAAGAAACAAAAAGCTAAAACCTTGGATAACATTAGGACTGATTCAGTCGATTAAAACGAGGGATAGCCTAAAAAAACATTTCTGCTTAAAAATACTCAAGAAAATGAAAGAAAATATAAGGACTATAGAAATAAACTCAATAACTTAATAAAACGAACAAAAAATGATTATTAAAAAAATAAACTACAAGAGGTTAATGGCAACTGTAAACAAACTTGGAAAATAATCAAAGATATCACAAACATGGATGCAAATAGAAATAATGTAGAAAGCACAACAATCAATAAAGAAAATGGTGAAACCGTAAGTTGTAATGAAGAAAAAGCTAATCTGTTCAATAACTTTTTTCATAGTGTAGGTGCAAATATGGCAAAAAAAATTGAAAAATGTGACCTACCCAAAAACTTTTTAAATGATACCAAGGTAGCTTCCTCCTTATTTTTCGAACCAGTGACAGAAAATGAAATAATATGTCTAATTTCTAAGTTAAAAAACTATAGTGCACCAGGTCCTGACGAAATAACTAGCAAACTGATAAAACATGTACATCAATACCTATTGAAACCACTAGTTCATTTGATTAACTTGTGTTACAAAAAGGGTAATGTACCGTCTCAGTGGAAAGTTAGTAGAATAACTCCAGTCTTTAAATCTGGAAGTCAAAGTGAAATATGCAATTACCGACCAATTTCTGTCATCAATAATTTTGCAAAACTATTCGAGCAATCTGTCAAAAATCGAATAATGGATTTCTTTAGTAAACATCAGGTAATAACACAACAACAATTCGGGTTCATAAACAAATCGAATACAGAAAATGCCGTGCTCGACTTCGTAGAACAAACAGTAAGGGCCTTGGACAAGTCTTCGAAATGTCTTGCGGTATTTATGGACTTGGCAAAGGCGTTCGATACTGTGTCACATGAAATCCTACTCCAAAAATTGTGTAATTATGGTATTAGAGGTCATGCTCTGCAACTAATGCAGAATTATTTAAAAGAACGGACTCAAACTGTTAAAATTGGTAGCAAGCTTAGTACAACATTACAAATCAATGTTGGTATACCCCAGGGTACAGTACTTCGCCCGATTCTTTTTCTTGTTTACATAAACGCAATTACACAAATTAATGAATTTCACGATCATATAGTGTGTTATGCTGATGATACGGCCTTGATCTTCACTGGTGAAAGTTGGGATACAGTCTATGAAACTGCTGAAATCAATGTGAGAAAAATTCTTCTTTGGCTGAATAATGATCTACTGAGTCTAAATGTGAATAAAACAAACTTTATGGCTTTTTCACTAAATTCAGATGATCAGCTGCATATCAATGAACTGAAATTACACAAAATGACCTGCACAAAAAATTACAATTGTAAATGCCCGATAATAGAAAAAACTGTATCCATTAAATATTTGGGTCTTGTTATTGATCAACATATGAGATGGGACAAACAAATTTCATATGTAATACAAAGGATGAGGCTACTCATGCGTAAATTTTATAGTCTCAGAGATATACTTTCTAAAAAAAACTTATTAATAATATATCAGTCTTTGGCAGAATCCATTATAAGATATTGCATGACATCATGGGGGGGTACTTTCGACAACCACATTAACAGCTTACAAATAACACAGAACTCAATTTTGAAAATAATTTTGAAAAAAAATAGACGATTTTCAACGGATCATTTATATCAAGAGACTAAATTACTAAACGTAAGATCATTATACAGTTACCTGTGTCTAATATAGATGTTCCCGAAATTTAGTAATTACTCAACACATATAACGGTAAGAACTAGAGCAATCGAGAATTTAAATATCAAAATACCTCTATACAAGAAATGCCATACACAAAGATTCGTGTTTCATTATGGTCCGAAATTATACAACATACTCCCAGTAGAATTGAAAATTATCAAAGGAATTAATAAATTCAAACAAAAGCTCAAACAATTCATAATCGAAAACCCTCAAAAATTTGACATATACTAAAAGGAATAAAAAAGAATTTTACACATTGAATAGCAATTCCTATACCATTTGTATATTGTATTTTTTTTTTGTTTTTGTTTCCTCAGAGTTTGAAAAAAAAATGTTTATTTTATTTTTTTTCTCTTTCTCACTAATCGTATTACCATGGATTATTATAATATTATCATATTTTTTTATTATTTTATAAAATGTACTTACTGAGCTCTTATCTTGGTGAGTAACAGATCACAATACAGGCATTTCAATGTCTAGGTGAAAGTTACTCATTCAAGATAATTGAAATTTATTAATTATGTATGTCATACAACAAATTGTATATTAACATGGAATAAATAAATTTGATTGAAATAAAAAAATCTATGACACAGATTGTATAGAAGTTGTCAGATTCTTGGGCTCGTGGGTTACCTGCGATAGACCCTCCACTGACACAAATTAGTTAATTCTGTGAAAAAAAAAAAATAAATATATGAAATTTTATATGTTTATGAAAACTTCTGAAACAGATGTGACATTTTCATTAAATATAAACTTGATAGTAAGTTTATTTGAAATTCAAAATTTAACTACAGAAAATATTCATTTTATCAGAAGAAAATACAAATGATAAAAGCAACACGTTTTTGAGAGGAAACTGCCAATCTTAATTCAAATTTTGAAGAGTAAGATTTTTTTTATTTTAATACATTTTAATATGTAGGAGACTACAGCCGGTTCTTGACCTAATCCCACCACTATGACGTCATTAACAGTATTGACTTTGTCTGACACGTGATCCTGAGTTTTGATCTAGAGGGTCGTCTCGGGTTTGGTATCGGAGGGTGCCTGAGGCTTGACCTTTAAGGACGTCTTTCAGATATGTGCACGAAGCATGACCTTGAAAGTGTAGTTTGACCTTGAACATGGAATTTGACCTTAAGATTAGGGGAGCTAGATTGCATACACTTTATGTGTACAAGTTTACTCTGTACAAGTTTGTACAGAGTAAATACACGTTTGCATACCACGAAGATCCCTCTAGTACTGAGTGTTTTTTACTGTTAGCTCATCAAGTTGGATGGTACCTCTCTAGGTACCATCCAACTTGACGGTACCTAGAGGTACCGGACGGTACCTCTCTAAGTGCACACATCTGCATTCTGCGAAGTTCCGACAACCACTACCTGCTAATATCGCCTTCTGTTAGTGCATATAGTTGGAATTGGTGGTGGGGTTGCCTGTGACGTCAGGTGGCTCTAGTGGGACGCTACCTTTCGGGGCAGACAGTACTGATGGGCATAATCGAATTATTTAGATAATTGAATTGTTAGTAATTGAATTATTGAATAAATGAATTATTATCCGGACTATAAATCACTTGCAATGCGCAGTAGAATCACTTAGTTAACATCGATTATACAGTAGTTGTTCAGTATGTCAATGTACCTTATTAGATTAAACTGAGTCTTTTACTGTAAACTATAAACAACGTTTTGTTTCATTTTTATTTATTGAGAATTCATTTTGAGTTTGTGAATTTTCGTTCATTTTGTTCATTAAGTCCTGTTTGAATTTTGGAATAACGTTTCATATCATCAATTTTTCAGATAAATCATTGCCGACCGTCCTCAATTAGCTTTGGTACTACGTGTATTTTGTTGACATTAATTTTATTCCAGACCAGGTCATTCCTGCCAAAAGTTATCTGCTGTCCTGCTCGATGTTATTTGATCGAGCAGAGAATAACTTTTGTAGGAAATAGCCCAATCTGGAATAAGATTAGTACAAGAGCACCTACTATCAGCGGTCAACTCGAAAATAACAATATGCAAAACATTTGTGATTCTGAATTTTTGAATTTATTTTAATTTTTTTAATTTATTTTATTGAATTAGGATTCCCTAATATACAGGTTAGCTAACTTAAAATATAATATAATCAACAAAATTTATATAAATAATACAATTTTATATACGTACATAATTTTAACTGAACAAAAAGGAATTTTTCAATTTCCATCATGAATATATTTTAACAGTTCGCTCTTGAAAATCTTTAATGATAGAGTAGATTTAATTGAATAAGGTAAATCATTGAATTGGACAAAACCTTTAAAAAATAAACTGCTCATACTATTTCTTGTATTTGTTCTATTTATATGAATGTGGCTGTTGTGCCTAGTAGAATGGTGATGAATGTCCTTATTGAAAGTTATTAATGATAGCCAGTATGGTTGGGTCATTTTATTTAATATTTTATAAATGAAAACCATGGTACAATAGAATAATCTTTTGGATAATGAGAGCCATTATAGAGCAGATAGCATGGTAGAAATTGGTGTATACCTATTACATTTTAAAATTATTCTCATTCCTCGATTTTGTAGTTTTTGTATTTGTTGCACTATATTCAAATTAAAAGAGAATAAAATATATGCACAGTAGTCAAAATGGGGTTGGATTATTGATTTATATACCATAATTTTTGTATATGTTGATAAGTTATTGGAAATAAAAATATAATTTTTTTGCAATCTTTTTTTCAATATATTTGAAGTGGTCGTCGAATGATAAGCAATTATCAAGTTGAAATCCCAAATACTTCACTGATGTTACTATTTTTATACGTTCATCTTCAATTTTTATATTTATGTTGTTTGTATTTATTTGATTATATTTGGTAAAAACAATAGTGAACATCTACATGTTTAAGTTCGGCGAAGCAAATAATGTCAAATTGATTCAAATTATGGTCAAATGCGCCTAAAGAATGAAGCAACGACGATATAATTAGAAGAAGAATAATTCGATTTATTTTGATAATCAATTCGATATCTCGAATTATTGTGATAATCTAATTATCAATTATATTTAATTCGAATTAGCCCATCACTAGCAGACAATGCACACATCTGCATTCTACAAACCTCCAAAGAGCACTGCATGCTCGTATCACCTTCTGTTAGCCCATCGAGATGGGAGTGATGGGTTGTCTGTGACGTTCTTATGAATCCCCCCCAAATTGTATTTTAGAAGCTAGGGAGCGTTTGTTTTATTAGTTTACATCGAGTGCATTGGTGAAAACATATTAGAAAAAATGTATTCATGTGATTGTGGTTAATCTTTTAATCATTAGCGATAATCTTCCTTGGCATCAACTCCAGAGTTACCAAGGAGGTCCATCAGTGAAACGAGTGATATAGATGAGGCTGCTGCTGCAACACCTATGCACACATGTTGTAATGTGACTACTAACGTGAGGCTAGTGAATTCTCACAAGCTAAGTCTACAGCATAAGAATAATTCATGTAATAATTAAGTGATGGTGTTCAAATTATAAAGAGTGTCTTCAATTGTCGGATTGCTATATACAGGGTGCAGAGTTCAATTGTCTCCACTGATTATATGTCATTCTTCAATGAGGTTAGGTAGAAGGTAATCAAATTACTTGAATCAGCCATCAACATTCATAAAATCATCAAAGTAAATATGAAAGTGTTTGGAAGTTATATTCTTCAAATCCAAGATTTGAGGCATACCAAGTCACTCAACACCCAAAAGGAAACAATAGACCAATCTTCTGAATAAAATTCCATATTTGATGGATTTCTTGATGGTATTATCAATCATATTACAGAATTCCAGGAACGTGATTCAGGCATTGTAAAACAGGGACAGCGCAGAAGAGTAATGTAAAGGTTACATAAATAATAAGGTTAGGATTCAGGTACTTATTTCAGAAAAAGATTTCGTTTGCTCAGTGAAAGATATGTCATCTATTGAATTCTTGAGTTGATTCTAAAAAAAAAAAGTATATTCGTTTTTGCCAAATTTTGAAGCAGTGGAAGTTGCCAAAAATTACACTGCACTTTATATACAAGAGTTTTGTCAAACAGACAACTGAAAAGGATAAGAGGAACAAAACAATGTTTCGATTCCAAAAGTTCATTAAGATTCATTTTTTTTTTATTTTAGGAATACAGAATTACAAATTTGGGGCCCTTTAAGTATTACGTAAGCATATTTATTACAATTATTTACCTCCCACCCCCCTTGTCAGCAAAATTAAGCAAAGCTCTTTCTCTCCATCCCATGTTTACATAAACTTGTTATATGCATTTTTCAATCAGACAATGTGTGTGAAAAAGTAAATAACTACCAATGACGTAATCACCATCTAGAAAAGACCCCCCGCTCTCCTATAGTGCTTACATAATATACTTGAGCAGTCCCCTCACACGAAAGTATACTTTTTTAGACTCGCAGTGAATCTACTTGCTCAAAAGCATACTGGCTTTACTGACTACATTTTGATAACATTTGTCACATAATATGTCCATAACAATGGACATATTATGTACAACAAAGATATGGTATGAGTGAGAAAAATGTATTTTTATGTATTGCCTATTTGATAATATGAATGGCGACTTATTTCTTTTTTAGCGACCAGAGCATTTATCACCATTTGAAGCGCTTAATTTTGTACTGAATTACTAAAATATATAGCATTTGGTGAATCTATACACCACATTTGACTTTTAGTCAAGTAATAGAAAAATCATAGTATTTTGCTTCCAAGAAATGACCACATTTCTCTTTCGTTGATTTATATACTATTATTTTATTGATTAGAAAAAAAAACGAAAAAACCTTTTTTTGTTAAAATGCTCCTGCGCCGACTTCACTTCATTAGGTAAATAACTGGCTCCATTTTATTTAGTGTTCATGATTGTTAATGAATTTGTACCTTTTTGACATATCTCATGTTGTGAAAGCAACCTAAAGATATCTGTTTATTGAAATGTTGTGTTATATTCATTCATATTATATGTGAGCTCTTTATTCTGATTTCAATTGATTGACTTGATTATGTAACATAATATTCCTCAGTAGCTAATGATTTTCTATGTATGAAATGTATCTGTACCTCAACTGTTTCCATTTATTTTTCATTCACAGATTTGAAAAAGCCTTTGACCCCTGCAGTGCCTCCTCCAGATAACCTCGTACCGTTCAACCCGCCGAAACAATCCGATGACAACAGCTTCGCTCACGCTCCGGCGTCTTCACCAATAACACCACTCTTTCCTACGAATCCCACCCCTTTCTCTACCCCCACTCCCGCCCCTAGTGTTGCTTCAGTCACACTTCCAGAAATTGAAAAAGAGCCAGGAACTGGCCATCAAATTTCTGTACCTTCCGGCCAGTTCACTCCTAGTCCAGAACAAATCCAAAAGGCCCAGAAATTCTGCAAATTCGCTACTTCTGCCCTCAATTATGATGATGTCAAGAATGCTTTGGATTATCTTCACAAGGCCATGAATCTTCTAGAACAAGGCAAAGAAGACTAAAATAACTTTATTTGAGAATTCCATCTAGATATACATATATCTTCATTAAAATATTATGTGATGAACATGTGCTTTATGTTAGGTAAATGTCAGTAGAATGAAGTTTCACATTTATATTCTTTCAAAATAATCAGTTCGTACTGGTTTTGTGGTGTAACCTGAATTTTCTAATCACCACCTGAAACTCCTGTAGCATATATGATATTGAAAATTTTAAAAATCTCTTTCACGTTTTTTAAAACTATGCTAATTTATCAATAACACTCAAGTTATGACTGTAAACATTGATCAATCAAAGACTCTCCATTTATTACTTATGTGCAGCTATGACATATTATATTTGGTTGTAGTTGAGTGCCGAAAGCAAATTATGAATGGTCCCTAACTCTGACTCTGAGTAAATATTAGTATACTGAAAGATTCAACTAGGTTTATCAACTGAACTTTGCCTTTTGATTAAATATCAGAAAATTTTCAGGTTATATCACAATGTTACTTTTCTAATTAAATGTTGAATTTTAAATGGTTTTATGAACTTTACTTTCACAACATATCTTTTAGATAATAACCTATACCTTTCATTAGATTTTTTTTTTCAAAGGCTGTTTTTATTTCTGTAATATTTTGAATATCTTAGGCTTTAGGTAATACGATAATACTAGTTTTGTATTTGTTGTTGAATGAATGAAATAAATGCTTCTATATTTGTTTTTTTATAATTGGGAAAGCCAACGTTGATGACATTTTTTCAGTAGTTTGTCTCTTTTATAATCGAAATTCAGTTATCAAGAACAATTTTGTAACAATTGGCATTGTTACACAAAGAAATTTTATAAGATAGTTTCTAGAGTAATCATTATTACTAGTCTAGAAAATTCTGATCATACATATATAGTGAATGTAAGGTAGAGGTTGGATATCATTTAAAAAACAACCAAGTAGCGATTTTTTATAGAAAGAGAATGATGCGTTTCTGTGAAAAACGATGAAACACCAAAAACAATGAAAAACTCACAGAAGAATCTCAAAAATTTTATAAACTTTGTTTAACCAAATGGGTAATTGTGATTATTCAAAAATACAATTTTGAAATTCTCAATTACTTTGTGATAGTCATGAAAATATACTATATACAGAGTTGAATTTTGAGATTCGCTTCTAGTAAATATTCATAAATACTTAAGTTAGTCGGGAAATATGGTAATGAAGTATTGTTGAATAGATAATGATGTCGCCCATGTAAACTAGACGTGTTTAGTGTTTTGAATTTCTAATAGGGTATTATCCATAACTCGCTGAAAAGTTGAGAGTTCTTTATGCCATACGGAGTACATGTGAATTTGTAGTGTCAGTCTTCTACTGAAAAAGCTGTAACAGAAATCAAACAAGTCATGAATTTTTCAAAGGATTTTTGTTTATTTAAATATTTATACAATCTTTCAAAATATTCTTTTGGTTTATTAACATACGAAACATGCTTTGATTCGAGATGTCTTTTCAACTTTGATGGTTTCATACTCTCCGGAGCCAATAATTCATTGCAGATCACACAAAGAGGTTGTTCATTACCTTTACAATTTTGAAATGTGAATCCAAATTGAAGAAAATACATATCATATTTTCTTTTTCGCACATTAGATGCCTGTTTTTCAATACTTTCTCCTGCCTGTGGAGAATTTGTAGCATTATAACCTGTGTCATTACCATTCTTATTTAAGCTCGGCCATTTATCCATGGCCAAAAATTATTTTGATCCTAAAATCGAATGAATACATAAAAATAACATATTAAAAAAAGCTGTTTTTCCGTTAACTAGCTGTCGCACTCCTATAACGACAACCCTTAGAAGTTGAAACTTGTGCGAGCTAAGGACTAACGGGGTCATACCTTTTAACGTGTGATTCCTAACACGGACTTGCATATAATAATTGAATTACCTGATAAATAAAAATACTAAAATCTCATTGTGGTGCAACAGTGACAATTGACTACACTAAAAAAGCGTCAATACTACACTAGTTCACATTACAGTCAGTGTTATTGAATCATTGTCTCGCTGCAAGTGTGAGCGCGCATTCCAACCTTTGTGTGCAGATGTGTGAGTGTGACTGCACAAATACACATTTAGATGTTATAAAATCGGGTATTTAAATACTTAATAATAATAATAATAATGGTCTTTTTTGGGTGAAATATAATATAACATCCAAAAGGCGAAGTTCAAAACTGCAGTGTAGAACACTACAGGTTTGTTCTTTCATTTAACCTCCACATTTTTTTGCCTGAAAATACCTATTTTGAAATGTTTTAAATGAGGGGGAAGTTTATTGTAAACGTTGCATATCTGATACGTAAATGATCGTTTGAAAAATTCATGAGTGTGTAACGGAGGAGTTAATAACGCTTTATGCCTTACATTCAAGTTGTGTACGTCAGCCCGAAAAGTAATTTTATTATATAGATAAGTCGGAATCTTATTGCAGATAACCTTATGATAGAAACACGCTGAGTGTAATGACCTTCGGTTTTCCATATCGAGCCAACAAGTTTCTGACAGCTTTAATGAGATTCTGTTCCTTCTACGTACTCCATGAATAAGGCGAAGGCAGGAGTTTTGAATCTTTTGGAGTCTTTTCTTGTTCCTAATTGTGAGGCATGGTCCATAGAGTACATCTGCATAGTTCAAAGATGAAAGAACGAGACTGTCACATAAAGTAATTTTTGTGTTTTTAGGAAGGAATTTTCGATTTCCGTAAATCAGCTTGAGTGAAAGGTAAACTTTATGGATTAATTTGTTCACAGGGGAATCAAATCGGAGATCACTATCTATAGTCACCCCAAGATTTTTTGCTTCCTTCACAATTTACAATACATTAGAACCTATACTAATATTGAGTTGTTGTTTTACAACATCTCTGTGATTTTTTGGACAGAATATTAGTAATTTCGACTTAGATGTATTATTCATTAAGCACATATTTTCAGCAAGGGATGAAAATGTATCGAGATCATGACTGATCCGCCTATTAGCGTTATTTACTCTGTGTGATTCAAAAGAATAATAGATTTGGGTGTCATCGGCATAAGGATGTACACTGCAATACTGAAGGCATTTCACTAATTGACTGGTGTATATCGTAAATAGGAGAGGGCCAAGAATTGATCCCTGTGGAACGCCTGTTTTTAAATTCAAAGGCGTGGAATGCACTCCATCAAGAACAACTTCCTGGCATCTATTGTGTAGATAGTTTCGAAAAAAAGGACTGAATCATCTGACAAGCCAATGTAGTGTAAGATCGAGAATAACAGCTCATGATTGATGGTGTCAAATGCCCTGCTGAAATCTAGAAGAGCCAGGACGGTACATTGATTTCGATCACTTGCATTGAAAATATCATCGGTTACCTTCAGTAGAGCTGTAGCACAGCTGTGACCACGCCTAAAACCCGACTGTACTGTTGGTAGTAATTTATTACTAAGTGTGAGCGAAGCTGTTGTCCTATAATTTTTTCTATTATTTTAGAGCTAGCAGGAAGGATGCTGATGGCCCGCTGATCTTTCAGTTCTACTGGATTATTGTTTTTTGGTATTGGAGTTACCAATGCTGCTTTCCACATAGCCGGAAAAAAGTTCTTTTCTATACAAAAGTTGATGATATGCCTTAAATAAGGAAGAATAAAAGGACAATACAATGAGATCATTTTTATACTGAGCCCATCGCATCCGATAAAATTTTTTTTAATCAAAGATATTGTTCGTAATATACACATATCATCCACAGATGTAAGCCGGTAGTTGGAATCGAGTAAGGTATGGTTATTATATTCATCAAGTAAAACATTGGATGGTGGGGTTATTGAAATAGATTTTACAAAAAAGTCATTGATGCGCGGTTGGCGTCGTTCAAGTGAGTTGGCAAATCAGGTTTTTTTGAAGTAATTATATTATTATTTTTCAGTATCGACCAACATTGTTTTGGGTTGCAATCATCAAGTTTGGTTGATAAATAGGATTTTTTCTCTCTCATGATAGCTTGTGCTGTATAATTACGTAGCTGTTTATAGTATACTCGGTGCTCGTCAGTTGGTGATTTTTTGTATTCAAGTGAAGCCTTATCTCGCAATTTCATTTAATTTTTAATTGATTTTAATCGGTTAGCCACGGTGCCGGAGGCTTTGTTATTCTAGAGATTGTAAAGGGAGCATGTCGGTTGAATAATTGAGTTAAATTGTCAACAAGAATGTTTAATTTCGTGTCCACTTCGTCAGTTTCATAAATACTGAAAAAAGGTATTCTACGCAAGTCAAAATTGAAGGCTTCATAGTTGAAATTTTTAAAATTTCGATATTGCAGGAATTTCACTGGTTTAACCGTAAGATCTACTTTAATATGGCAATATGTGAGAGAATGATTGGAAATATCTACATCCTCGACACCCTTCTCTACTACTCTTTCTAGACTCCACACTGTTATTAAATCTATAAGCGAAGAGCTCTGGAGGCCTATACCAGTCGGCGAGTCAATTATTTGACTGAGTTGTTGAGTTTCAAATATTGATAACAGGTTGCTCACATATAAATTTTCCAAACATAATACATCTAAGTTGAAATCACCAACGCAAACAACATTGGGAGTTTTTTGTACTAGGAATAGTTTTTGTGCTGAAGACGACATGCCCCATAACAAAATTCCATGTGATAGTCAGGATTGTATTTCTCAGAACATTTATATTAATTCTGGTAAAGCTTACTGTTCAATTTTTTTATTGTTTCACTTATTTGAGATTCCCAATAAAGTGTATCACTCATAGTTACACCTAGAAATTTAATGGTGTGGCACTTCTCTAGAGTCGTTTCCCCAAAATGAATGTCTATATTTTCAGCCGTTCTTTGTTTTGTGTGGTAAATAATAGAGATAGAGATAGAATTTTTTTAAACCATTTTACGTATAAATACATTTATGGCAGGTCAAAGTACATAAAGAGAAACATTGCAATAAAAATAAAATGTTAAACACATAAACGGAATACATATAAGTAACACAATAAAATTATTATTTGAAAATAATTATTGGCTGACCAAATAATCATTTGATGCAAAAAAAATATATATTTTGGGTTTCTCAATGAACTTGCTTGGTTCAAATACTCCATTATATTCTAGAAACATTTTTCGAGGAGAAACTTTTTGATGACGGCTTTGAATTTGTTAAATTCCAATGATTTTACTGATTTATCGAGAGTATTATACAAATTTAGGTTCAGAGAATTTTTATTGCTAACAGCTAGTCTATGCCATTGGGGATTCAACATCTCTGTAGATCTTGTGTTATACTGATGTATATCGGAGTGTTTTTTGAATTTGTTTATGTTTTTATGTATCTCTAACAAAACGATGTATATGTATAATGAAGGCACTGGCATGATACCAAGCTGAACAAAGTGTTGATAACAGTGATCTTTGTATCCTATATTTGCTAAAATGCGAATGGCTTTTTTCTGATATCGAAATACCATTATGGCATTACTTGAGTTGCCCCAAAGAATACCTTGTGAGGGTATAGAATGAAATAAAGAGAAGTAAGATATTTTCAATACGTTTAGATTGGTAACTGGTTTGAGTTATCTTAAAACAAATAAAACTTTAGAGAGCTTTAGAAGTACACAATCTACGTGGCTGGACCAGTTTAACCGATCGTCGATGATTATACCAAGAAAAGATACATTTTCTCTTTTCTGATAGAGTAGATTTGAGGAGACAATTAGGTTCTGTGTTTTACTTTCATTTAATTTGAGTTTATTCTTTGTGAACCAGCTTTTGACTAAGTTTTTGTTCTCGTCAACAGTTCGAATCAAATCGATGTGTGACTTATCCGATTCCACAAAAGTGGTGTCATCGGCAAATAAAATACATTTTGTTGGTGTAATACTTTGTACTTTATGTACAAAATAAATAAAAAAGGTCCAAGTACTGTACTCTGAGGTACTCCATGTTGTATCAGTTTGATGTCTGATTTGATATTATTGAGATCAACACACTGATATCTGTTTTCAAGATAGGAGCTGAGGAGACTCAAAATGGTACCTCTTAAACCATAATGACTCAGTTTTTCAATGAGTAATGCATGTGAAACACAATCAAACGCTTTGGTCAAGTCGCATAAAGTCAAGGAAGTGTGCTTGCACTGATCAAGACCCTCCACTATGTCATTCACTATCTTGTAAACAGCCTGAGTTGTGGATTTGTTTTTTCGAAATCCATATTGGGATTCACTAAAATACAACCTCGTTTCAAAGTAGGAATATAATCGCGATGATTTTTCCAATTATGGAGACAATACTAATTGGACGATAGTTGTCTAAAGATGATTTATTACCTTTTTTAAACAAAGGAATAACTCTGGATATTTTGAGTATGTCTGGAAAAACGCCTTCCTTGGAGATTTGACTAATGAGGTTCGTTAATGGCATGACTATTTGTTCAGCAATAGCTTTCATTAAAAAATAAACTGTGTCTTGCTAACATTGATATAAAGACTATTAATGGAGAATCATAGAATGATTTTTTCCATGAGATGATAGCAAGTGAAAATCGATCGTTCAGCCTGGGGCTTGAACCAGCGACCAACACGGCGGTTGATTTGAGTGAGAGAACAAAGCACCCACGTCGAACCAACCGTCCATATTTGTCACCCATATTTGGAATAACGCAATTGAGAAACATGGAGAGTCAATAGCTATTGCGCTTGATTTTTCTAAGGCCATTGACCGTGTATAGCATGAGGCTTGTTGGATTATTTTTGTGTATGGCTCTTCAGGATTCTGAAAAAAACGTTCCCTGCAAGTGGCCGTCGATGGATATCTCTCTCCATATCCTGGAGTTTCCCAGGAATCCATATTGTCTCAAACCATCTTTTTATTGTATATCAAAGACGACAGCAGAGGTATCTCGCCATTCCTCTTGGATTCCAGGACATCAGCTGCGGATGCACATCTTCACCAGCAGCAAGAGGTTGCATATCTTAATGAGGATCTCAAGGTGATTTCGAATTGGGGTGAAAGTAACCAGGTTCAATTCAGTGCCACCAAAAACCCAGACATCGGTTTTCTCCAAAAATATAAATATCTCTAAACTGCTTCTCAAAAGTTTAACACTGTTCCGAACCAAAAAAATTTACAAACCTTAGCAACTTTTGAAGCTTTATGAAGCTCAGATCAGATCTTTGGAGTATTGTTCACATGTTTGGAGCTCCGCCCCTAAGCATACCCTGAAGCTGCTGGATTCCATCGAGAAAAGAGCCATCCACCTGATTGTAGACACGAACATCACTTGCAACCTTGATAGTCTGGAATATCGAAGAAAGGTTAGAGATTTGCCACTGTTTTATAGATACTTTCCGGAGGGTTTCAAGTGACTTGGCACATTTGATTCCAACAAGAGGGCTACATATCAGAAATACGCGACGCACTGTAGCTGCTCATCGTTTTGAGGTTTAACTCAGCACACCTCTCTTAGAGCGGCTTAAGGATTTTCCTGTAGTGCATGTGTTTTGTCTTAAAAAGAATCCTTAACAGAAAATGAACTTATAATAACTATATTTAGTTTGAAAAATCACACCGCTGCTGACCATATGGAATATCGGCTGACGTGATGAAACAATTTCATTATTAATTTACATTTCAAAGAAGGTTCAATTCCCGTTTTGTTTAAACAATACACCAATTTTTTAAAACAGACAAAAACTTGCAATCAACTATATGCCAATATAAATTATAAATAATTTGGGTTCTGTGAAAACTCAAAATGCATAAGAGAAGGGTTGAAATAAAACGAAAATTCTGAACTTGAATAAATATTATTACAGAACACAAAATGACTAGAAGTTCATTTGTATATAAAGTACCATGATTCAGATGTAAAGAATTACTTTAAACAATCAACAAAATCAACAGTTCCTGAAACCCCAATTCAAGCGGAATTGATAATATTAACAAGGGCATCCCGAGAACTATTTTCTGGAAACTCTTCAAGAACTTTCAGAGCAGTTTCAGAAAGCTCCTTTAACATTTCATCTGTTTTTTCCAGACCATGTCCTGTTCTAATAACATTTCTTAGCTCTCTATAATCGATGTCGTTTTCTTCTACCATTTTCAAAAGCTTCGGATAATACTCCTGATTATCTTGAAGGTGAAACATCAGAGGAGCACATATAAGACTGAAGGGCTCCGTTGTTCTCAATGGATTGAAAGCCGAAAGATCAGCACGGGCTTGCCAACCTAGAGCCATATTCCGACCAAATAAATAGCCCAACTTTTGGAAAGATTTCGGATGATCCGCTAAAATAAGAGTACCCTGAAAATAATGAAGATTATAATAAAATAATATCATTTATCGCATAGTAGTTTGAGTTATACAATCAAGGAGATGAGAGTTTCTATTTCAACTTCAAAAGAAAGGTTGTCTTCTATTTTATTCACTCTCAACAACAAAACCTACTTGACAACACTTTGCTAACAAACTGGCTCCATCCAACAAATGGCGTAATGTCCATTCAGCTTTAGCATTTCCCAATACCTCCGATATCGTTAAAACTTCGTCATCGAACAGATTAGGCACAACAACTTCTTTATGTTCTTTCAAAGGAGGTGATGGAATGGGTCTATTTTGACTGCAAAAAATAATTGTGTATCATGAAATTTATAGTATAAAATGGGCACAACTATTTCACCTTCAACACAATAAGATATTCTATATCTTATTTCACATTTTTGATATTGGAAAAGAGAAATTGTTCACAAAATGCTATTGACAACAACATTTTGGAATCGAGTTGATTGAATTGTGGTAAAATTACCAGTTTCAAAATACTATTGATTGAAAACAAAAAATCAAGTGAAGTATTTTGGTACTGGAAATGTACTTGAAAAACTAAAATACATGAAATTATATTTTTGACAGTATCTAATTTATTCCCGGAAATAATGAAAATGTTTAATGTACCGATGCATTTCTATTGACTAACAGAATATTTCCATACAACTTTTATACAGGGCGTCATCCGACTTGGGTCACTCTCAACTTTGAAATATTTATTACAGACTTGTGTTTTTTATTGCCTCTCTTCTATAGATACCTTCACAGAGGTGTTCAAGTGACTTGGCACATTTGATTCCACCAAGAGTGGTACATATCAGAAATACGTGACGGACTGTGGCTGCTCATCGTTTTGATGTTCAACTCAGTACACCTCGAACTTCACTGTTTAAGAACTCTTTCATTTGGGGAACTGCGGTTATGTGGAATAAACTTCCTGAGAAAGTTTTTCCAAATGGATTCAATCTCCAGCGATTTGAATCCAACTTGAATCACTGCTTTCGCACAGGCACCGCTCTTAAAGTGCCTCAAGGATTTTCCTGTAATGCTTGTGTTTTTTCCTTGAAAAAACTGTTCTCTTGCTTGAAGTTATTTCATATTCATAATTAGTGAATCAGGACTTGATTAATTCCTCTGTTTGATATCGATATCAATCATTACAGAATGACTTTTCATGATATGAACTATTTAAAACAATATGATAACTTTCCAGAAATCAATATTGGGTATGTAGTCTTTGTTGGGCGATGGGCGGTCATTATTTTATGCTCATTTTGAAAATTAGTAAAAATGTATTGTTACGTTTTTCCCCGTGGGTTGACCAATAACAGACAACACTGAATAATCAAACTTAACTTTATTTCACTTCAAATACAACAAACACGTCAACTAAAACTTCAACTATTATCTGAATCTCTATCGCCTTACTAGATCGCTTCGCGTAACGCACTGTAGCTTCCACTTGACTGTCTCGATATGCTTGAGGTTAGCATTTATATATCGTAATCGAATACAATAGAAATTTCGCCGAAGTTCCATCGGAATCGGTAGCCTTATTCTCGTTGCTTCTAGAGCGGCATGGAACATCGTATATTCGCGCGCTCTTAGCTACGTCACAGTGGATTTATGGCTACCAGTGGCGGCCGGCGTTATTTTCTTTATAGAATGATTTACAACAGTATTATATATTTTTATCAAATTCATGCACAAGTTTTTGTTATCTCTTACTATTTAAATTTTGCATAAAATTGTATGGAAATAAAAATTTTAATAGAAATTTACATTCATCTCATATCTTTGTTGAATATTTTTTCATGAAATTTTCTTTTATAAACCGAATGTCAACTATAATTATGTTATATGTCTTCGAGTGGAGACTTCAGAAAATCAATGAAGTGCCTGAAAAGTGGCGAAACTTTGTTAAAAAAACTCATTTATTTCTCCTGAAGGGATATTCTGAAAAAAAATCAAATTCAAATACTTTACCTATCCCTTGGTTCAATAAAATCAGCCTCAACCAAATCTCTCAGACATGTGGATATGAGTTCGTTAACATCATGACATTTGAGTTCAGCCAGTTCTTTGAAACTGCTGCTGAGAAGGTAATCGCCTGTTAAGAGTGACAGTTTGTTGCCAAAATTGAGGTCATCAATGTCCTTGTCATTCGAGGATATATTGAGGATGCTTTTATGGATGATGTTACTGGTACGAACCATTTCCGTAATTTCAGCAAGAATTCTTTGACTATGGAGAATTCCTAAGAAATAAATTGAATTTAGGTCGGATGTATAACAAATTTATCCAAAATGAGAGACATCTGATTATTTTCATTGATTTATTTGATACAAAATATATCAGCCATTCACATACAGTGTGAACTATTTGAAAGCGGGACACCTTCCTAACGTTTGCATTTTTTCTCCAATTTCGAAGAACTATATTTTGAATTGTAGAGCTCAAAAAACTGTACTTTGGGACCAAATATCATTTTCTTTCTACAAAAACCAAGGCCTGCTGCGAATATTTTTATAGGTTAAAATACAAGAAATCGTATTAGGGATTTTTTTAGGAAAAATTTAAAATCACCATTGGATTGGGCACCATCTCAAATGGTGGTATACCGAATTTCATAAAAAAATATTCAATATTGATAATTCTGTGGTTGAATCAAAGAAATTTTATTATGAACTAGTTGTTGCCCGCGGCTTTGCCCGCATAGGATTCAATTTGTCACCATTTTAAACCAATAGTTACAATATTTTTTTATTAACCCAAAACTTCAGGTCTCTAACTTCAAAACTGACGAAATTCAATACAATCTTTGAACCCCTATTTTTCTCCCTTGGTGGTGGAAATTTCCGATTCCCTTTCTTGATGCTTATTTACGCTATACAAAGAACCTACCTGCATATTTCAAGATTATTGGTTCAGTAGCTTCGGCTATACCTACGTTAATATAAGAGCAGGCAACAGCTAGTAATTTATATTTTTACTTTGAAATTACAGTAACTAAAACAATATGCCAACTGAGTAGATGAGCAAGTTTGGTCCTGGCTCAAAATCCCATGTATTATGGAGCTAAACTTTTTACAATTTTCATGACAAACGTGAGTGGGGGAAATAAACGTGTGACGTAAGTGATGCAAAGAAGGATGGAATCAGTATTGGAGCGATTCAAAGAGCGTGGGCCCCCTTGTACTCCGCCTCACCCCTCGGGACCCCTTGTCACATACTCCTAATTAAAAAAAAGGTTATTGGTATGAGAATCGAACACACTCTATATTATTTAGATTTAGTGGATCACTATTTTCTGAAGAAAATGGTAATCCACTGATCTCAATTGAATATAATGTTTTTCAAACATTTGACCAAACAACTTCATTGTTTACCCCTGTGTCATTAGAAATATTATTCGCACATTGCATTTTTTAAATATTGAAAAATGCACACTTATTGCTACTTCTATCAATCTGAGGATTCATTATTATGAAATACTTAACAAATAAATAAACCCTTCCCAATCGAACATACTGTCTCAAATCTTTTGCTTTTTTATGACAAGGGAGTATTGATTTTCCACTTATTTCCATGTTACAAGTTAGTTTGGAAATGAATGAAAACATCTTGAGTAAGAAAATCTACATTTGCAATCATTTTGTGGAATTGGCCGCGATGGTAGTGCGCCCGACTAATGATCGGAAGATCGTTGGTTCGATTCCCGCCTCACCCAGATATTTTCTCGAGAGAATTTATCTTGTTGAAGCTGGAATGATTCTGCAACCTTGTTAGGAATCACACGTTAAAAGGTAAGACCTTGTTAGTACTTAACTCGCACAAGTTTCTCAACTTCTGAGAGTTGTTGTTCGTATGGGGGCGACAGCTGATTAACAGAAAAACATATTTTTTTAAAACTGAACTATAATGGAACATTTCAAATTTTCCTAAATTGAGAGAAAAAACAAATTTGACCATACCTTTCTGGTTGACAAAAGAGGTAGCTCTTACAAAAATATTAAATTCGTGATTCTGAAGATGACATACCTGCTGTGATGTCACATTCCACATGTGAGAATTCTCTACTCAGTCCACCTGCTTTAGAAATCAATAATACTATGAGACCCCACGCTGGAGTTTGTTTATTCAAAATTAGTTCTCTGAAACAAAAAACATAAATAATTAGGTATTATTTCAACATTCCTGCCCAATTTGAGATCCAGAGCCCTTTTTTAGATCTGAACCCAATGCTCAATATGCTTGGACATTCAGAAAATAAAATGTAAATTTCAACTTCTTTTTTATGTAGGAAGCAGAAATTTTATGAAGTTCATATGTAGGTAATTCGGAAAAAATGTTGATATTGATAAAATAATCTGTTAGGTCTTTTTCATGATCTTATTTTCATTGCGAAAAAATATTGGTTGAACATTTAGAAGCTTACTTGGCAGTGTTAAGCAATGGATGATTGGTTCCTATGAGTTTTCTCATGTGCAAAGCCACATTGGCAACTTCATCATTTAACAGCCATCTCAAACTCAAAAATGATGTTGGATATCCTACAATTTTTTCAGCTTCATTAACAGCTCTGTTATAAGAATACTGCTTTTTGAATTTTTCATTGTAATGGTAAGGATTAGTCATTAACACTCCTCTGTTCCCAAATACCCGTTTCAAAAACACATTCATTTTAACGAAGCCAATTTCAATCTGATAAGGTAGAGTGTATAGAATATCAAGAATTATCAATTTACAGTCGTTTTCATTGAAAAAAAGCTGGTAGTAACACATATTTTGTATTGATATAAGGTTAATAACAAAAATTCAAGGTTATGTCACAGTTCCAATAATCTGCGGTTATGTATTATTATGTTTTTGAATCCTTCTATTATTTAGTAGGCAACTGTTAATACAGGGCAGCTGTAAGAACGGTTGACGAATTGAAGTAAGATTGGGAAGTAAGATTGGGATAAACGTGCATGCACGTTCCGAGAGATATCTATGTTATGTGGTTTTTCTAATATAACATATATGTTTCAGTATTGTCACGAATTCTGAAAACCAAAGTAAATGATGGATTGAGAAGATGAAATATGGGTAACTCAAACACACAGCCAAGAAAGTAATTAGTCTGTGTCTCAAACACATATTAACCTAAGAAACATCGCTGAGGTTTTTGCGAGGTCGCATATCAAGGCGGATTTTCACCAAACTGACTTGCTTGTGACTAGTTCAGTTTTCACAAACAGACACAAAAAACCTGTTTTAGTTTCCAAAACAGACTCGCGTGTTTTGTTGTGAAATGTTTTGTATCGTCTCCAATACACGAAGTTTTTATCTTGCCTTCTCTAGACGATGTTTTTATAATGGCCTGCAAAAAAACCAAGATACTGGATGAGATCATTGTTAAGAAGACGTATAGATTATAAAACGGATAAAATTATGGCAGATTTGATAAATGACATAAAAATTAAATTTTTTAATCTGTGACACCGTATAGAAGTAAATACAAGTAAGTTCACTCTCCGCCATATTTGGGTCAATATTCCCCATCTCGAATTTTATGCTCAGTCGACCTACAGCGCAACCGACTGAATCTGATGCATTTACCAAGCGAGCCAAATTGAGGCATGGACTATTATTACAGAGTGAGTCGTTGTAATTGGTGGTTTTGTATTTGTGAAAAATTTGTGTCTAGTTTCAAAATGAATAAGTGTCGAGCTGTGGGTTGCTGTAATTTCCATGGTGATGTCGGTATTTATTTTTTTTCGATTTCCAATTGACGAAAAAAGGTATGTTTTTCTATTATTTATTATGTAAGATTGAAGTAATGAACATATAACGAAAATAATAAAATAAATTGTTATAGACCATATATAGTGGAGTCATTAATATGCAGACTTTTTATTATGAATTTAATTTGTCTAATTTAAAGTACTTTTATTGACCAATATTTCACAGTATAAAATACTTTTTTTGATTATAAATTACAGGTATATATAACTGGACGGTATATAAAAATGAAACTAAAACTAAAAACAGGAAAGGGTATCAAAGTAAAGCAGCATCTAATTGTATGGGCACATAGAGTAGTCAAAATGATTTGAAAAATAAAAAAGCAATTTGATATACGCATTCCGAATCATCATATTGTTGTAAGCACACAAGGTATCCAAAATATAAAATGTTAATTATTAAAATTCCTTCCTTCGGGCTTTCTGTTCAGCAAAAGTGGTAATGCCATCATCAAAGTTTAAATTTCGGGCCATAGAATAGCCAAGTTGCTTAGCCTGTCTTTTCTCGTAGAATTTCTTAAATAAGTTTTTATCAATTTCAGTTTTGAAAACGATCGCTCGGCACTTGACGTAGTCACAGGAATGGTGAGAAATAATAGAAATGCAGTGCACACTTCAGGAAAGCTTGAAGATATAAAATGATTTTTTATTATTAATAAGTCAGCAAGTTCTCTTATAGAAGATGATGTTTCTATTTCGTGTCTGAAAGAGAATCGAAAACTGAGAATTTCCTTTATATAGATGAACAAATGCTAAAGCCTTCTCCAATAAATCAGTATCGTTCAAATTTTGCAAAGTGGCAGGTTGCAAGACACTGAAATTGGAAACAATTTCATTCATTCCCAGGAAACGCGATCTCAGTTGATTAATAATTATGTCTAATACACGATAGAAGACGTTCACTTTAAACAAACTTTCAGGATCTTGGAGACGTTCTTCCTCACAAATTTCATCAAAATGACGTTTCACTTTTCTCTGACGAGTTTTAGAAAATTCAGGGTTTATAGACCATTTTACTGCAATACTATTTGCTTCCATTTTTAAATCTTCAAATTCATGTCGATACTGTTTAAGTTGTTCCAGACAGACTTGCAAACGCTTTGAAGCATTTGAAAGATCGATGGCTTTAGACTGAAGTGCTTTAGAAGCCGCATCTATAGTGTGATAACTTGACTTCTTCAATAAACTATTTGAATAATTTCCTTATTTATCAGGTACAAATAAAACCAAACACGTTCCATTTAATAATAACCATCTATTTCATTTCAAACCCTCCAGAACATAAAAACCTGAAATTTACAATATATAAAAAACCATATAAAACACTGCCGCCGTGACACTGCAATGTTGGGACTTATACCCCGTGGCACAAATCCAAATATATCTTTGTAAGACTTTGCAATGGAAAACCAACAACATAATAAAATTGTAATTTTCTATCTTCTTATTCAGCAAGATAGCTTCATTTCTCTCATCTGTTTTGAAATTTAATAAAATAGTTTTTGTACGCACTTTTTGATGAACATCAACAAACCGAACTTTCAAAGCAAACATGGCATTAAAGCGTCCTGCGCATCTAGTTGGATTAATTGTTTTTAATGTTACTCTGGTCTCTACTTTATTATCGGATATAAAACTAGATAATATATTCCAGCAACCAACAACATAATAAAATTGTAATTTTCTATGAATTTCACTAGTTCGGACTTCCATTGTCTATTATATAAAATGATTTGAAATCCCTGAAACAAGTAAAAAAGAAAAATTAAAAAAAAGAATAGTTGAAAACCACAATCGTCATCACCCGAAGACGATTGTAGATACCAACAATCGAAACGTCGTGAACTAACGTGACTTGGAATCTCTACACTTTTTTATTTTTATTTAAGTCCGAACTAGTGAAATTCATCACAAAACATTGTCAATCACCTTCAAACAAACGTAATTTTCTATCTTCTTCTTCAGCAAGATAGCTTCATTTCTCTCATTTGTTTTGGAATTTAATAAAATAGTTTTTGTAAGCACTTTTTGAACATCAACAAACCGAACTTTCAAAGCTAACATGGCATTAAAGCGTCCTGCCCATCTAGTTGGATTCATTGTTTTTAATGTTACCCGGTCTCTACTTTATTATCGGATATAAAACTAGATAATATATTCCAGCGTTTAATACTATGGTCAAACAAATAATAAATTTGTTGCACAGTTTCGAATAATGTTTGTATTTCTATGACCTCTTTTACTGCATCATTTACTACCAAATTTAAATTATGAGCAGTACAATGGACATAAATCGCATTTGGCTCTATATCTCTTTTGAGTTTTTGAACTCCGCCATAAGTGCCTTTCATGGTATTAGCTCCGTCGTACCCTTGTCCACGGCACTTATTGAGAGAAATATTTTTGTCATTTATGGATTTTATTATCTGCTTGGACATTGCTAAGGCAGTTTGATGTTTAACCGCATGAAATCCTAAAAATGACTCTTTAATTACGAGAGTCTTTGGAGTTCCACTTTCATTTTTCCCGATTACACACAGTAACGGTAAAGTTCACATAATTGATCTGTTTTGGAAATATTTTGAGTAGTATCAAATAAAATGGAATAAAATGGTGCGGTTACTATTTCATTTACTAGAGCAATTTTCACTTTTTGAACCAGAACAGCTATGAGCTCATTTTGTATTTTTGGACTTAAGTATTTAATCTGGCCCTTAGGTTTGCTTAGCAACTCTTGTAAAATAGGTTCGTATTTGCCTATAATAACTCAACAATACTCAAAAAATTTCCTTTTGGACCTGAATCGTTGCCATATACCAGTTCTCTATGGCCACGAAAAGCTAAATTACAATTTGAAAGTGTTAGAGTAACATCAAGGAGTCTAGTCAGTACCTGGCGCCAAAAATGTTTTTTTCTCTTGATAATAGACTCTTGCTCTTCATCTAGTGTTCCATGTAATTGCCACTGTCGATATACAAAGCATGAATGCAAATGTTCTCATGTCTTTCTATGGCTTGCACAATATGTTTCCAGTCATCATAGCCTTCCATCCAAATATTTTGTATAGTTTTAGATGTCCTATTTGTGAATAACCAACATGGTTCACAATATGCTTTTTGTAGCAATAGGGAATAGCACAGCCACGTACGTTCTAACTTTACGCCAGATTAAGAAGTACTGTAATAATATCTATCTAAGAAAGATCTTTTGATACTATCCCTTAAAAAGGAGCCTTTTGGTTTACAGGGTCCGTTTTCGATCACAAACCGTTTTACTTGATCATTGAGTTCTTTGAAGTTATCAGTAACGTACGGTGTAAACATTTTAATTTTTCTATATTCAAAAATGATTCGTTTGAAGATTTGCTCGTACTGGGTTGTGGTCGCTCTGAATCTATTACACTTTTATCGGGCTCTGCGATATTACTACTTATGACGACTTCATTTTCTGCCCTTCCGACGAGCTGTTCATTTGATTCTTCTATACTATCTTGATTCTTAAAGTACTGACTTATTTTAGGTAACTTTTTATTTCGTTCTTCCGACTCCTTCTTTCGTGTACAAATGTATGTAACGGAAGCCCACCAGTTTGTTCAATGCTCAATTCAAGCGTGCAATTTTATAATTATTGTAAGAACGATGAACATAGGTACTTAAATAGTTTTGGTAGTTACGAAATATCAAAATAGTGATTTGTGCTTCATTGGGCAGATTTAAAATTAAAATGTTGTTATCTTATAAATTATTTTAAATATTACCTATTTTTCCAATTGACTAATTAATATATCCTCACTTGCAACAAACACCCAATTCTTACAACAATAAATTGCTAACTGTTTGAGTGCATGCGTAATAATAGAAAAGTGGAGTCTTACTTATATACAAACTTGAATCGGGGATTCCCCGTGAGCGTCAAATTGGCGGGACGCGTAGGTAAGTATACGCAATTTTTTAAGCGCTGTTGACCAAAACTTACAGCGGGAATTCCGCGAACATTCGCAGTAATACCAACACGCGTGGCATCGGATACTTTCTAAAACGAGGTGACAACTTTTTTTTACAAATTCTTTGAATTTTTAATACATTTTTTAACTTGTTTATGCAACGGAGTAGGTAACAAAAATAAATCAAAAACAAATGTTTTATTTTACTTAACATGTATGATAAAAAATACATGTTGGGATTCTCCTCTGACCGGGGGCCCCTTCCGGCTGGGGGCCCGTGGCATTTTGCCGACTTGCCACCCAGTAGTTACGCCACTAGTTAGAACCGTAGCATGTAGATTCAATAGAGGAAGCCTCGGTGTTAGCGAAACGCATTTAGAAATAAAAATGTTTGTGAAATATGTTCTTAAACGTCAAAATCAAACATTGAACTGATAGTCCGATTGATAAATTAGAAGTGTTTAAAAAAGATA